ATCTATGAGGCATTGGAGTCCAAAGACTAATAATTCTGTTTACAGTCATACATAAAGTGGTGAAACCAAGTCAACAACAATAAAACATACCCTTAAATGATCTCATCCCCAAGCAGAGGATTGCATTGATCTTCACCGGTAGCCGAAGCACTGCGATGATGTCAGCGGTACGCGAAGCCCTCTGCAAGTCCTCGGCCATAAAAAACCATCTGAAGACTCCGAAATTTCATTGCAATACTTGGAGTACACTCCGGTACTTCAACATAGTTACGGAAAATGAATGAACATTACCCATTTAATTCGGTGATTTACCATGATTTACCGATTAAGAATTGTGATTTCTGATAGCTATGTTCAGAGCGTATTGTTGTACACTCAATGCCAAAAAAACATTCCCTTTTAATGCCATAAGTGGATGGTATACAATGGTATACAATGGTATACATCATCGCCAAATGGTAGTTGTTTATGGCATCGGGGGAATAAAATTATTACAACAAACATCAACAAACCCACAAATACTATATATCTTCAACATATTTAATTAAAAATATATCAAAGTTGAAAGGTACTGCAAGTGGGAAGATAATTGGAATAAACATATCATTGATATGGAGGTTTCAAGCAACTGCCGTGCAAATCATAGCATTGATGGAGGGGAATGGCCATGTTTCAAGCTATCGTTTTTCTCAGCGGCGCTGTTGACAACCGTATTTCTTTAAGGCAAGCAAAACCAAGTTTTCCTCCGAAACCAGCTTTTCATTCCCTTCTTCTGGATTTTGGCTCAAGAGCCTGGTTTTGGTCTCGGAAATAATTTGTTCATTTTGTTTAAAAGGATACGCAAGCCAAAGGTATGTACCCGCACGTACCATGATTCAATGTATTTACAGAGAAAACACACACACACACATAGAGAGAGAGAGAGGGACAGAGCGAACCTCAAGTACATCCGGATCTTCCGTGTGTAGTTTGCGCCAGTTTCCCGACTAAACATCGCCAGCCAACCGAAGAGGCAACAGCATCGATCTTGCGCAAGATGCCTAGTTGATCCAATGCATTCGCCACGCCCTGTGCGTCGGTCGATCCCCAAACATCCTCAATTTATCACTGGTTGGTGGTTGACCTACCCCTCTGAAAAATATGAAATGGGAAGGATTATCCCACATAATTATGGAAAATAAAAAATGTTTGAAACCACCAATCAGATATGCATTAGACAATTTATTGACACTATTGTACATGATTGTAGATGTGCATTGAACCATTCTTAGTTGCGGCACAATCATTTTGAGATATCACAAGCCAAGTTCCCGCACAACCGCAATAGGAATATCAGGTGACCAAATGTGATGTGCCATGGCAAACAATCCTTGACCGAGTGACACTTTGGCAATGCTTGGAACTTGGAAAGGCATCATTTGAGCCATCTAATTGTTATCATATTGTAGAATCGCACATGGACATGGTCGGATTGGGTATGCAAATCATTGAGAAGCCTACCTCACAACTTAATTACAACGATTCCCAGTGAATGCTTGACGTAACGAATCTGATAAATCATGATAAATCATGCTTATATGTTTATTATTGTTTATTATATGTGAATACTGTTTCAAAGAAATGGCTACTAAGTTACTAGCGCTTCAAAGATAGCGTAGTATCTGTTCCTAACCTTTGGGGATCTCCACCATGGGTGAACTCATCATATTTTTTTCTCTCGGTGTGATCGCTGCTTGGCACGTCACCTGGGCTTGCTTCATGCCGGTGTCGTTGATATCAATATCCAGCCTGAGAAACTCCATTGAGCCGAATCTCTGGGGGACCTGGCCGAATGCAATCCATGGGGATGAAGAGAATTTCTTAGACATCTTGGGCATCGCCCTGGAGTTGAGCACAATTCACAACAGAACAAAGGTTATGTTGAATTCTCATACAGTCGGACACCTGGACAAACCCCCAACGATCCCGAACGGAGCCATGATCTGCCCAACCACTTCACATGTGAAACCCTCAAGACTTCAAGATCCTCTGAAGAATGGAGGCTCTTTCAACATCTCCCAACCACTTTTGAACACTTTTGATTCGATCTGCTTTCAAAATCCAAGAAACTTCCGGAGTGCCCTTAACATAGGCCTTATATACGGTAGGTATGGGAGGTATCTCAATCATGTAAAGCCATAGGATCCTGAGACTTCAGGGACTCCACCCCGCAGGCTTGCGGCAAGGTGCTGCCCCTGTATCCGCCGGTCTGCATTCCAAACCTTGGGAAAAAAAGGGCTGTGTTTGACCCAATAAATCCTGGCATCCCATGTATGTTTAGTAAGTTTAGTACATGTATGGATTTCTATGAACTAAATCCCTTAGATCCCATGTATGTTAAGTAAGTTTAGTACCATGGTATTCTATGGTAATATGAACTCTGATCAGAATAGATCTTGGGACGTTGAGCAACTTTAAAGAAAAGACGTGATGTCTCACTGGATCATTGACACCAAATTCGCTGGATTCAACGGCGTTAACCAAACGACCAGTCTTTACAACATCTTAAAACCACTACTGACTGGGCACTTCAATAATAAACATTAATACACCATTACCCAAAAAAAACACAATTTTATTGGTGGTATGTCAACTCTCCCCGAATGGGGGGTTGTTGATTAAAGGCTGTCCCATGTTTGCACCACGATCCTCCCGGCTGCGGCCACGAGGCTGTTTCACCATGCCTCGGATGTCGGAGCTTGAGATGGGACAGGACCAATGGCCATCATAGAGGACTCAATTTATAGACATCCCATTCATAGGGCATAGGTGTATATAAGGTATATACCTGCCAAAAACCTGAAACTATCGATGGAACAAATGGCATTGGGTTTACCACATAAGTTTCATAGCCACGAATTGTTGCTTACATGGTTACACCCCATATTTCAATCTAGTTCAATATATTTCAATATGGGTATGGGTCAATACCTATAAATGCCATTTTTAGTGGGATGAACATCCATTTACCAGCTATTTTGGGGTTCACCAGGGGTACAAGGTTTTGACACACTGCCATATGTATTTCAATATATATTTCAAAATAATTCATAGGTATCTCTTCAGAAGCCCTTGACCCAAACGCGCCAAGTCACCGGATCAAGTAGATCCTGTCGCGATCTACGGACAAAGGGCTACCATAGTTGAGTATGGCATGTTCAAGCTAACGTTAGAGGATAAAACATATACATAATGACATATGTATATATATATACACTTATATTAAACAAAAACATGATTATGATCATATGATATGTGTAAATACACACACTCATATTCTTGACAACACAATATGGACAATAATGCGGAATTATATATAAATATATAATATGTATGCAGGTTCATACATATCTTGTATATACACAAATGTGTGTGTATATATACTCAACAATACATGTATGTGTATCTGTAAGCCGTATAGGTTATCGTCAGCTCATCAGTTTTCTTCACTGCATTCTGTATGCATCTATGTATACATTTATAATATCATAATATCATTGCACATCATTACACTTAAAGTATCAAATGTATATGGTACATTTCAGAACTGCAAGGAAGAGCTGGCCCAGCATGCCCTGGCACTGAAAACCACCATTGCGGTGGCCTGGAACTAGCTGAAGTGTCAAAATTGATAGTTGCCTTGTTCGACACAGATCAGACACACTGATTCTTCACAGAATTGTTGAACAGTTCAAGCGCTGAAGGGCTTTCTTATGTTGTCTTGACCACCTTGAAGACTGTCTCACCACAATTCAACTCACACCGGTCGCATCTCCCACCCTCTCCTGCTCTGTCGTCCGCCCTCTCTTCCGCCGCAACACATTTGCGACAGAGTGCCAAAACACTTGGCGGCCATGGCGGTAAGGCAGTGATCCCTCCAAAACTCCAGCAAAATTTGGTGCAGTTCCAGGGTGGTATTTGGGGGGGTTGTGTCGTGATGGGCAAGGAGAACTAAACGGATTACTCTTGGAAGAATTGCATGGAAGTGAGGGGTGTGTTGGATAAGTATTGTCTAGGCAATTTTTATTTATAGTTGATGCCAATCAGTTAAACAATTTTGATTCGAAATCTTCACTCTAAATCAATGATCAATGACACTTTTGGTCTGTATCAGACTTGAGCTTGACTTTTGTTGCATCGCAGCAAGCTGTGCTGTTCAATTTGATCGGGAAAGCTGCTTACATGGCACTCACCATGAGGAGAGTCTGGCAGAAACCTCTCAACAAATGTGAACATGTCCATGATGAACCTCCTACAAGCGCTGTGATTTCTAGTTGAATTCCCTACAAACGAGACGCATCGCAAAAAATGATCAGCTGGTGGATGATCTTCTTGAACTGGAAGTACGTGGTGAGATTCTTCACCATTGCACCATACTTAAAGCTACCAAAAACGATGCGCTTTCTGGATTCCTCTGATAGTAAAACTTGGCCGTGATAGCTCCCCAAATTCAATCGGTCGATCGGCATTGACTGTTCGGGTGCCATGTTTGTTTGCACAAGACACGCAGCCTCAAATCTTTCAGGACAATCTTCCGTCTATCAATCATGGTAATGGAACATCATATCCCACATCAAAATTTAGGAGAATCATGGAGAATCCATGGCTAGAGATCATCTCCTGAAGGGATCCATTGCCAGGGCTATGCCTCTATGCCCTTTGGTAATTTAACATGACTATGGAAGATCACCGTTGTTCATAGGTAAATCATCCAACTAAAGTGGGCCATGTTCATCCATTTTCCATAAGTATGATAGGTTACCGGAGGCTAAATCCCATTAAATGCCATCATACTCCCATTATATTGCCATTATATTACCATTATATTCCCATTATGTCCCATTAAATTCCATTTACAGTATTAATCATAATTTTCATGGTTGAGCCACCATCTTTCCTCGTGAAAAAACCTCCGATCAAAGGCCACCAAAAAACAACCAAAACCGCTGGGCACTCGCGACAGGCCAGCTTGCTCATGAGCCGCATCTCGGGTTCATCCGGCCTCACGGGCTACTCAAGCCAGATGTGTAGACAAGCACATAGTGGATTAACTAACGAATATATATATATATATATTTATAGTCTATGTGTATATATTGCAATATATAATATATATATATATATTTATAGATGGTCCAGATATTAATAGATCCATATGTTTATATATAGTTATAGATCCACCTGACAACTAGCACATATAGTGATAGAACCATATATATGCATATATATATAGTTATGTGTTACGGTTCCGCACATGCGTATCTGTAAGTAGTGTGGGAAGTAGAACCTTATACATATATCTCTGTATATATATTATATATATATGTATAAACATAGATGTGTATAATGAGTAGGTATGCAAACTATTGTTATAATGATAAAACAAATACATAAATATAGACATAAAATATATTCAGGTTAAATGACCATAGTGTTGCCGGTTGAGTTCGCCCCAATTTCGCTGGTTTCTTTATCCCCGTTGGGCCCTGTGTCAAACACAGCGGCTTCAAATCTCGCCGTTCATGATCATTAATGGCAATTAACCCCAGGTTTTTAGGGAAAAAAATGATAAAACCCACTAAAAAACCATGGTTAATTGCCATTAAAACCATTAACCTGGTTTTTAATGGATAAAAATTGTTCATCATTGGTGATTTTTTGGTTTAAACCACTATTCTTTTCTTGCTGGTTTCAATGATATGGCGGTGTTTGCAACTGGGCTATGCGGCTATGTCCATATTTTTTCGCAGTGTCACTGGGAAAAAAAAGGAAAACAATATATGGTAATCAGACATGGCTCGGAAAATCATCTAACTATGGCTGGGAAATTTCTAGCCAGCCAATGATGAAGTCCCATAGGGGTTAATCACCATGAATCACCATGAATCACCAATGATGAAACCATTTTTCCCTAAAACCAGAGGAGTAGCATCACCATCACCCGGCTACCGCACCGCTTCCCTGGATGGACTTTGACAGCACAAATGGACACCTGAAACGCCACGATTTGTCGCTAGGTCTTTCATGGGGAAAACCGGAAAACCCACGGTTTTCGGACACATCAGTCCGGGAGAACTTCCGATCATTTTCAGACAAATCCAAAATCTGGATGAAAATTCACGCTGAATCACCGACACGATGAAATGACGGCTTTACTGTATAAAACTGTAGAAAATGATTCTAGATCCATTACTTATGTCACTGATGGCTATTCTGCCCATCTGACCATCATTTCAAACCCCTGGAGGTGGTTCTTTCACTCATTGACGTGGTTTTCCGATCAAAATTCCACTGGAAACCCTGGGTGTTTACCAAATTTTAACCATCTTGTATATTGATGTGGGTGAACAGTGCTATTCTTCCCATCATCCAATTCTGGGGTGTGGCCCCAAAGTCAAAACGATTCGTATCCCCTCAACAATTTAACTGGCAATGCATATTCCCAAGTTGTAAACGGTTATCCGGCCAGAAAGTAATTGATGATGTTCATGAATGTTCCATTGAACAAAATCAAAATCAACCTGTTTTTTGCCTCTTTCGACCTTCAGGACGAACCAACAAAACACTCAACATCGCGAGAACAAATATAAGCCATGAATAAAATCATTCTGAACTTGCGCGCAAAATATCGTGAAACGTATAGCTCACAGTTCACAACCGTGATTCACCATCGTCATCAGCTATCATTAATCCATCATCAACCATCAACAATGTTCATTAACCATCAACATCCATAATTTTCATCATTTACCATCATTCACTCATAATCCATCATAACCCATCATAAACCATTAACATCCATTAACGACATGTTCATTAACCAATCAGTATCCATGAATAACCATAATCTAACCATCAAAAACATTTATTTAACCATCAATAACCATCATTATCCATCATTTAACCATCATTTAACCATCATTTAACCATCAATAACCATCAATAACCATCAATAACCATCATTTATCCATCATTATCCATCAATAACCATAATCTAACCATCAATAACCATCATTATCCATCATTTAAACATCATTTAACCATCATTTAACCATCAATAACCATCAATAACCATCATTTATCCATCATTATCCATCAATAACCATAATCTAACCATCAATAACCATCAATAACCATCATTATCCATCATTTAACCATCATTTAACCATCAATAACCATCAATAACCATCATTTATCCATCATTTATCCATCATTTATCCATCAATAACCAAAATCTAACCATCAATAACCATCATTATCCATCATTTAACCATCACCCCACGTTGTGCCCTTCACGATGCTGGCGCAAACCGGACTTTGAGGCCCCGGACGAAGGCGCCCCGTCGGTGGATGGCTTGGAGCAGGCGCTGGTTGCCACCGAAGATGCCTACGGCCTGGTTGCAAAATACCAGTGCCATTAATATCCCATAAATATATAACAATGTAGTATTTTATCATATATTAATGGTATATAATAACAATATCTAAATAACAATGGTATATGTGATCTATGTTAATGGGATATAATTAATAACTGTATCTAAACAACAATGTATCACATTCTCATGTAAGATGTATCTATATAACAATGTATCACATTATCATGTAAGATGTATCTATATAAGAATGTATCACATCATCTATATAACCAGAGATGAAAATTATCATTATCTAAAAAACAATGTATCACATTATCACTGTATCAATGTATATTTTCATGTATGTGATAATAGTACCATTCATTGATGAATTATACTAGAATTTTTATCATTGACAAACAACATCATTTATAGTGATTGTTCATCATTGATAAATAAAATGATGAATTGCTGAATGAAAAATACTGACATTCAAGATATGATTTCTATGTATGATAATAAATGATAATATCATAATATATGATAATGTATGACAATAAGTGATCATATATATATATATATATATAAGTATGATACTAAATATGAAAAGATATATGACAAGATATATGGTAATAAATGATAATAAATGAAAATAACTGATAATATGTGATAATATATGATAATAAATGACAATCTATGATAATAGTTGATAATATGTGAAAATAAATGATAATATATGATAATACGTGATAATAAATGATATTATTTGACAATATGTGATAATATATGAAAATATCTGAAAAGATATGACAAATATGAAAATAAATGATCATAAATAAATGATAATAAATTAAAATAAATGATAATCAATGAAAATATCTTTATGCTAGTCATAAAGCATCATTTACCAATGACACTAGTGATTGATCATATCATTGATATTCATCATTCATACTGATTAAAACTGGTGGTGGTTGATAATATATATATATGGTGAACATGTTCATTATGTAAATGACATTGTGTCATATTATCACTGTATCAAAGTAAATTATCATGTATATTATAATACATTTGAATAGTACCAGTCATTGATGAATGATAATAATTATCATATATATATATGATAATACATATGATAAAAGTATATGATAATAATATATGTATGCAGCAAGTGATTTATCAATTATACTAGCGATTAGTTGGCTTTGTCAGGAAACTGTTGACGAACCAAGGGATTTATGGGCACACTTTTTTTCAGAAAAACCCATTTATTAAATTGGACTAATAACCATTAGTAATATAATCACCCATCGAACTGATTGAGTAATAATCGTTAGTATTTATCCGTAAGAATCATGAGCAATGATCAGTAATAATCAATTGTGATACTTGCTACAGTAATATTCTTTGAAAAGTAATCATCATTGCAATTGCAATATCAACTACTAGTAATGATCAACGGGTAATAATCAACTATTAAAACCGAGGAATAGTCACTAGCACTAATCAGTAAATTCGAATAGCATGTGGTAGCAATAAAGAACTCATGATCAGTAGTAGTGGTAGTATGTAGTTCTAGTATTATCATTAGTAGGTAGTAGGTAGTAAGTAGTAGTAAGTAGTAGTAAGTAGTAGTAAGTAGTAGTAAGTAGTAGTAAGTAGTAGTAAGTAGTAGTAAGTAGTAGCAAGTAGTAGTAAGTAGTAGTAAGTAGTAGTAAGTAGTAGCAAGTAGTAGCAAGTAGTAGCAAGTAGTAGTAAGTAGTAGTAAGTAGTAGTAAGTAGTAGTAAGTAGTAGTAAGTAGTAGTAAGTAGTAGTAAGTAGTAGTAAGTAGTAGTAAGTAAGTAGTAGTAAGTAAGTAGTAGTTAGTAAGTAGTAGTTAGTAGTAGTAGTTAGTAAGTAGTAGTTAGTAAGTAGTAGTAAGTAAGTAGTAGTAAGTAAGTAGTAGTAAGTAAGTAGTAGTAAGTAAGTAGTAGTAAGTAAGTAGTAGTAAGTAAGTAGTAGTAAGTAAGTAGTAGTAAGTAAGTAGTAGTAAGTAAGTAGTAGTAAGTAAGTAGTAGTAAGTAGTAGTAAGTAGTAGTAAGTAGTAGTAAGTAGTAGTAAGTAGTAGTAAGTAGTAGTACGTAGTAGTAATTAGTAGTAAGTAGTAGTAAGTAGTAGTAAGTAGTAGTAAGTAGTAGTAAGTAGTAGTAAGTAGTAGTAAGTAGTAGTAAGTAGTACTAAGTAGTACTAAGTAGTACTAAGTAGTAGTAAGAAGTAGTAAGTAGTAGTAAGTAGTAGTAAGTAGTAGTAAGTAGTAGTAAGTAGTAGTAAGTAGTAGTATGTAGTAGTAAGTAGTAGTAAGTAGTAGTAAGTAGTAGTAAGTAGTAGTAAGTAGTAGTAAGTAGTAGTAAGTAGTAGTAAGTAGTAGTAAGTGGTAGTAAGTAGTAGTAAGTAGTAGTAAGTAGTAGTAAGTAGTAGTAAGTAGTAGTAAGTAGTAGTAAGTAGTAGTAAGTAGTAGTAAGTAGTAGTAAGTAGTAGTAAGTAGTAGTAAGTAGTAGTAAGTAGTAGTAAGTAGTAGAAGTAGTAGTAAGTAGTAGTAAGTAGTAGTAAGTAGTAGTAAGTAGTAGTAAGTAGTAGTAAGTAGTAGTAAGTAGTAGTAAGTAGTAGTAAGTAGTAGTAAATAGTAGTAAGTAGTAGTAAGTAGTAGTAAGTAGTAGTAAGTAGTAGTAAGTAGTAGTAAGTAGTAGTAAGTAGTAGTAAGTAGTAGTAAGTAGTAGTAAGTAGTAGTACGTAGTAGTAAGTAGTAGTAAGTAGTAGTAAGTAGTAGTAAGTAGTAGTAAGTAGTAGTAAGTAGTAGTAAGTAGTAGTAAGTAGTAGTAGTAAGTAGTAGTAAGTAAGTAGTAGTAGTAAGTAGTAGTAGTAAGTAGTAGTAGTAAGTAGTAAGTAGTAGTAGTAAGTAGTAGTAGTAAGTAGTAGTAGTAAGTAGTAGTAGTAAGTAGTAGTAGTAGTAGTTGTAGTTGTCGTAGTAGTTGTCGTAGTAGTAGTAGTAGTAGTAGTTAGTAGTAGTAGTAGTAGTAGTAGTAGTCGTCGTAGTCGTTGTAGTGGTAGTAGTAGTAGTAGTAGAAGTAGTAGTAGTAGTAGTTGTAGTAGTAGTAGTAGTAGTAGGAGTAGTAGTCGCAGTAGCAGTAGCTGTAGCAATAGCAGTGGCATTGGTAATGGTAGTGGTAGTCGGTAGTCGGTAGTCGTAATGTTTTAATAATAAATAATCATCATAGTACTAGTACCAGTAGCAGCAACTATAAAAGCAAAAAATAAACGCGCTACTCATGCTAGTAATGATAAATAGTAATACTTCTGAGAAGTAATGACATCATTTAGTAGTAATAAATAGTAATAGTATACTTGCCATTCGTAGCAGTCATGATTCATAATTCATAATACTTATTAAACAAGTAGTAGTAATTACTAGAACTACTACTAGTAAAAATGATACCATATATATATATACATACTTATCTTAAGAGTACTTATAATGGTAGGAGTCAGTAGGAGTCAGTAGGTGTACTAACAACAATCATTCTGATGATAATTAGTATTGCTAGTAGTAACAATGTTTGGACACATTACTAGTTTGGCAAACTTGATAGTAACAGTAGTGAATGAATTTTCACAGTACGCATTCTTGTTATGTAATATTATCTAATATTATGATGACTATTGCTACTGCTAAAAATAAAACCAATAATCATACCAGTAATACTCAAGTGATTAAGGAAAAACGTGTCCTCAAACATAACTTGGATTTGCTTGAAGAGTTGGGAAAAATAAAACATGTATGGGTTTCCTACACAATCAACACATAATACTATTAATACTGATGATATTAAATGATATAAACATAGTAAAGCAGTCAAGCAACAATGAGGTGAATACTATGCTGGATTCGCGCGTAACAGAGGTATAAACCTCCCGCCAAAGGGGTGAAACCTACCCTGATCCCAAATGTTTGGTGCATGGGATTGGTTTGTTGGGTAAATCACATTAGTTTATTGATGTTTATTGCACATATTCGACTAATTTTGATTATAAATGCGTACAAGTATACATCGGACAGGTCTGTATGTACATAGCTGCACACGTCGGATTCCGGACTGAAACAAATCTTCTGGGTTGGCCATCATCATCACCATCGGCAGAGCACAAAAATGGTTTGAGCTATATAAAAGAAACCAATAGTGAGATACACACCCCACCATCAAACAAAAATAAAACATAGATGAACATAGTATCATAGCAACCTTAGTAAACCAAACAACTGAAGTTTAACTTGATTGCTAGGCTTACTGCATCACTGCAACAAAACAATCTTTTTAAGCATGCCACAGTGCCCTCCGGGACAGCCCTGGGACGACTTTTTCGGAGCCGAGCAATTTGCAGCGGTAGCTGCAACCTACGTCGACCCATACTGGTTGGTGTTGACCTATGCTAGACATGCTCATCATTGGAGTCAACCACAATCCAGTATTCTCATGCATCAACCACCAACAATCAGCACCATTTGATAAATCATAGGTATACCATGGCATTACATGAGACTAACTGTTTGCGAAATGGAACATCACCATGGACGTACATCTGCTATGGTGAGTAGTTCAGTGCAAAACTGGAAACTCTAAATGGAAAGCCATGGCGACTACCCCCTGAATCATCCATTTTAATAAGTTTCCATGAAATAAACCATCCAGCTATTGGGGTACCCACATTTTAGGAAACCAGCATTTGATAAATCATTTGATAAATCATAGGTATAATAAGGGGCGACTACCCCTTATATGTTTATATACCCCCTATATCTGCTTGGTGGTTTTAACGCCTCTTAAACATATTTAAAGTCACTTGGGATGATGACATTCCCAATATATGGAAAGTCATAAAACATGTACCAAACAACCAACCAGATATATTGATATTCCAATGATTAACCATTATTAACCATAGATTAACCATAGATTAACCATAGATTAACCCAATGTTGACCCAATGTTCAAGCCGC